CCGCGAATGTGAATGATCTTGAAGCAACTGGCCTTAAACAAGAACGCACGGCAGCAATTTTGGGCGTCAGCTACAGAGTAAGTCAGCACCACTGCCTGGTTGACGTTAGATAAACCGAGGACGTGAAAATCCGTGTTTGCTGAGCCACCAGATGGAACTGCAGTTGTGCAACATTAGCTGCTGTCCGGAAGTTGAGCTCTTGTACCATTACGATTTAGTGTGCGCTCCGACCTTCTTGACTTAGCTTGCCGGATTACAAGAATCAGAAACGTTTTTCATCCGCGTTGCCAGTTTTGTAGGCGTCTGAGTTTGGCTTGCCCGCGGTTTGAGTCGCATGATTGGATACACTGACGGGAGGTCAGTCGCTGGCATCATCCAGTATTTGTCCTTGCGGCGACGAAGGAAGTATTCTCAAACCAGAAACCAGCCTAACAATCTAGACGTGACAGTCTAATTTGCATGCTTCTCTATCGGGTATGCATTCGTTCTATGTAGTTCAAGAAAAAAATGTTGGCAGGACTGACTTTGGAGGTCCTTTTTGCCTTTGACTTATAACAATAAACTACTTTTACATCTTTAGTAACCCGACCTTCCATTTTTCCGTGAAACTCTAACAGAAAATCGAATTTCCGTTTTTCGTTAAATTCCGCCAATGTAAGATCGAATTTATCTCAATCGGCATTCGTATCCTGCGCAACAGGAGTTTATGTTGATGGCATTTCATTCTATTTAGTATATTGAAACAAATATTTTATATTTTTATATTTTTTGAACACTTCTACCACAATTACATATTCACTTACACTCACGAGCCAAGAATTAAAATAAAATACGTTAGGCAGTTAGACAGGGGGAGTAAATATTTAGACAGCCCTACAAGTCAGTTTTGCCAAAAGTTTTTTGCTAGCTCCCGAGTGTTCAAAACTCCGTCACGTATATTTTCTTCGAAAACAGTTTTAATCAGTCTGTCAATCACAAAATACTACTGCTTGCCACTGTTGCAAGACCCGAAGCTTATTAATCTTTCAAGTAGAGAATACTGGTGTAATTGTTTGCAAAACCATATATTTCAGTTTATGAAACCATTAGCAATCAATAAAAAACGGCCTGTTCCTTCCCCCATGTGGTAAAAACAGATTAAGCCAACAGAAGGGAAGCCACTTTGTATGAATTTTCCGAAACTCTGTTCATGTTTATATTTATTGCAAGCGCATTTTATTAATATTTTACAGTTAAGGCATATTTGAGGACTGTTTCGTAAGTTTCGGTGTCAATATAAATCTTTTGGTTTGGTAAATTGACAATGTGTACCTCATCGTGGTCAAGTTTCAATCATGTTCCTTTGATATCAATTTTAATTCGTAGTACGGCTAGCTGACTTTCATTTGGGCTCAAATGCTATACTCATAGTGGTGGTGGTTGTCGTGGTGGTGATGTAAACAAAAGTCGCTTTTTCTATCTCTGCAGGGACTTGGACTTGCAGAAACCCATCTACCAGAAGACCGCAGTGTATGGACACTTTGGTCGAAGCGAGTTCCCCTGGGAAGTACCGAAAGTCCTTCGATTCTACCCTCGCGAAGAGTTGGATAATTAGGGATGAGCAGAGTGGTCCCTGGAGGGCCTCCATCGGCACTGTCTTGGATCCTCCGTCCTTTCCGATCGCCCTGAGGAGATTTTATTGCACTTGCCTTCCCCTTTTCCCCTCTTGGGGCCTCCTCAATTTATGGGCTTTCCCTTGTGTAAAGTTCGCCCACCCTCATGCCCAGAACCGTTCCGGAGGCATCTTGTTGCTGTCCTCCTTCCCCCCCCATTTGTTCACCATCTATACATACCTGCTCCGAATTCATTTCTTCCCCCAGTTGGCTACTGTGTCCACGTGTATACTCTCACTTTCATATTCGACTGTCCTAACTGAAAGTTCACGAGGCTTTTATACGTACACGCATCATCCGTCCCACAAGGGCATGTGCTGCGCATGGCGCCCATCATGACCATCATGTCCATCCTTTTCACGCCTTCTCTCTGTGCACGGCCAATTT